TTATTTGATCCTAAACATATGTGGCATAGTTTGACAGTTTACAAAAAAAATAAGAAGTGCAAAATATCACAAAGAAATTTTTTTAGATTGAGACTGGAACTCCTAAGAGATCATTTACAGCAGTGGAAAAACAAAATGTTTCTGCCCAGGGAACTATGCAAAAAAATTGCGGAGCACACTGATGAGCTGACAGATGAACAGGCAGGCACAGCATCACAAAGACCTACTATGACAACAGGAAAACTTAAAAAAAAAATAAAGTCAACTCTGCCCTACAAGAAATGACAGGAAAACAAAACATATCTGCTATCAGTGTAAGCAATACTTGTATATGGAACATATAGTTGTCATATGTGAAGACTGCCTTGAGTGTGTCAGTTGAAGCAAAGATTATTTCTGTGGTAGACTTTTGTTTGTGTTTATATTGGAGTTCACACAAGTTTTTATTTCTCATGTAATAGCTTAGGATTTGTAGGCAAGTAAACAGCTGATGTGAAATGTTAATGTCTATTCTAAGCATTCATTCCATATTTGATATTTTATTTTATAGATATCTTATTTCACTGCTAAGTGCATGTTGTGCAATATAGTAGGAAGCTCCTAATAAAACAGGAAGAGCAGAGAGGTGACAAGACTGCCACATAAGAAAGGAAAGCTAAACACATGTGCTATCGGTTAAGTGAGATGTGTACATGGAACATGCAGTTGTCATATGTGAAGACTGCCTTGGGAGTGACAGTTGAAGCAAAGCTTATTTTTTTGTAGAGTTCTTTTGGTATTTTCATTGTGGTTCCTATAGGAATTTATTTCTGATGTTGTCTTTTGGGTTTTGTAAGCAAGTATAGAGACAATATGAAAATGTTGATGTCTATTCTAAATGCTTAATACATACTAAAAATTTAATACTTTGTTTTATTGACATAAGTATTTAATATTTATGTTTATTTTATTTTCCTGTTAACTACACACTGTATACTGTAATAAACTCCTGACAAAACAGCAAGACCAGTGAGATGTCAAGTATGTCCTACAAAAATGCCTGGGAAGCAAACCACATGTGCTGTCAGTGTAAGCGATACATATTACGGAACATGCTGTTGTCACGTGTGCAGATGGCCTTAGGTGTGATAATGGAAGCAAGGATTTTTTTCTGTAAAGTGCTACTGGTATTTTTATTGTAGTTCATGTAACAATTCGTGTTGATTTTTTTTAAGAATTTGTACTCCAAAAAACAGTCAATGTTGAAAATTTTGGTGCTTTTTAATAATCACTCAATAAATATTATAAATTCAATACTTAAAAAAAGAGAGAGGGCTGTAGCTCAGTGTAAAAGCCTGGGGTTCAATGCTCAGGAACACACATACATACCACACACACACAGACAGGGCCGAGCAGCCCCTCTGAGTTACCCTTTCATAGCCACAGTACCACCCTTCTTCCACATTCCCTCACCCTACAGCTACTAATCTGCTGTCTCTACAGCTTTGTCAGTTCAAGAACACTATATAAATGCTACCATACAGTATGTGACTCCTTGAGCTTGCCTTTTTAATTTTTACTCAAGATAATTTCCTTGAGCTTTATGTATCATTGCATATATCAATAATTCATGCCATTTTTTTCTCTTTTGTGGTGCTGGGGACTGCTTCATTCCTTTCTATTTTTTAAATTTATTTTAATTTTATTTATAATTACAATTATTATTGTGGTACTGAGAATTGAAGCCAGGGCCTTCACACTAAGCTACATCCTACTCTTATATTATTTTTGAATTTCAGACAGGTTCTCAGTAAATTCTCCAAACTGGGCTCAAACTTGGCAATCCTCTTGCCTCAGCCTCCCAAGCTGCTGGGATGTTAGATGTGTGCCACCATGACCAGCATTCATTCCTTTTTATTGGTGAGTAGTATACTGTTCACCTGCTTAAGAACAAGGGATCGTTTTCAATTCCTGTCTTTTACAAAGAAAGCTGGTATGAACTTGCAGGTACAGGTTTTGTGTGCACATATGCATTCATCTCTCAGGGATGAAGGTCTAAGTGTGCAATTGTTGGGTTGTAAGGTAAATACACATTCAGTTTTGTAAGAAACCACTACTGCTTTTGCAGGACAGTTCTCTGAATGTCCTTGGACCGCCCCCCTCACCCACATATGCACCTCTTCTCACTTGTACTTCTCAAGAACAGCTGTAGGGTGTGCTCAGAATGCAACACCCGGAAATACGGAGGGACTGCCTAGAACAGTTTGAGCTCTGTTCCCGCCCCCACCCCCTCCAAGAAAGAAGACAGCCTTCAACCTTTCAGCTGTGGGGTACAGCCCTTGGGATAGAAACTCAGTGTGGTCCTTGTGGCATCACCAGCTGTGATGTAGGTGACACAGGCACAGTGATGCTTCATCGTCCCTGGGCAGCTTTTCTGTCTTGGGTTTCCGTTTTCCCTTGCTACCTGGGTGTAAATAAGAAGTTCGCTTCATGAAACTTGCTGTATACACAGGCATTCTGCCCCACTAGACGCAGACAAGTTGGCAACTGATGCACAGCAAATCCGCTTTGTGCTTTTTTTTCACCGGAACTCTGCATCACTCCGCATTCCCACCAGGGATAAATCAACGCCTTAGCTTCACTGTTCACGTAACATTGCTTCCGAATAAGTAAAGAAAGCATGTGCTGCTTTTTTGCTATTCCTGGAGATTAACTGGCCTCCTTTTGAGAAAAATATTACAAAGTGTGCTGCCCAGACAATTCCATGGTTAGGAAGACATCCGTATAGAAAAGTTAATGCAAAGAAGTTAAGGAAAGGAAACCCTAAGAAAAGTTTTAAAACAAGGGTAAAATGTGCCCTAAAGGGCCGAGGATGTAGCTCAGTGGTGCCGTGCCTGCCTGGCAAGTGCAAAGTCCTGAGTTCAATTACCAGTACCGGAAAAAAAAGAAAAAAAGAAAAAAAAGTACCCTAAAAGCCTGTAAAAGGAACAGAGAAAACTAATATTTATGTATTGAGTGTTTCTCAAGCCCACCTCATTTATTTTGTCCAGGGGCCCTGTAAGGAAGGTAACGTTACATCCATTCCAAAAATAACACAACTAGAGGCTTCAAGTAACTTTTCAAATAGGCCACAGAGTTACAAAAGGCAAAATGAAAATAAGCCTGATTTCCCGCTAGCATCTGGTTGCCTTCAGTTTAGTGTAAGAAACAGATGGCAATCAATGCATTCATTGAAAAGAAACTAAAGGAGGAAAGGAGGAAGAGGAAAAAGGAAGAATTCTTCTCTGCTGTTTGTGTGACCTGGGCAGGAAAATTAACGTTTCTTCATTTCATAAAGGAAGGTAACGATACCTCCTTCACAAAACTAGGCAATGAACATGTGATAAAATAAGAAAAACAATTTGAAGCATGTAACGTGATAAAAGATAGTATATTTTTAAAGTGCAACCGGATTCATAACCACATACCGAAAAAAACAGGTGTGAAACATCGGTGGGTGATGTGGTGTTACTGAGTTCCTTTGTGGCCCCGTGACCATCACTTAAGATCTCTGTTTCCTAAATCATAATTGTGTTTGAACTTGTGCACTTTAGTAACAAAGATCCTAAAACCAAGTTTAAGACAGTGTCAATGAAGCCTGTACATATGAAATTAATTTGACAGTGTCTATTTGCTAGGATACCGAAGAATACACAAATGCTTATCCATGGAATCCTGGGCTACATCAGTTAGGTCATTATGGCCTATGTCAATACACTTTACAAATTATGACATGCATCATTCGTACATGTATGTAAAACACTAGTAGTGTCAATATTACAAGAATTTATACGTAACATTCAAACACCACTCTCAGAAAAATAGACATTGGAGGATCTGGAAGAATAGTCAAGTAATTGGTAGATTAAGTCTAGAGAATATAGGTTGCTAGGAGCAGCAAAGAAACTATTCACATTTGAAATCCTTTATATTTTTCTTTTAAACTATGTATTACTGCATTACTATTCAGAAACAGACTGAAATTTTGGAGTTTTGTATAAAATGTAATGTTAACATGGAAAAGTTCTTTAGCATAGCCATTAAAGGTGTTAATTTAAATCATGAAAATATGAAGCCATTTTGCTTTTTTAATATGATTACATATATTCTTCAACAGACTGTGGACTAAGGCAATCTTTCTTTATTATTATTTTAGGATTGTTTTTGCTAAGTGGTGAATAAAACTGAATGAAATGACTAAGAATAACATTAAATGGATTAAATTATGTAATAACATTAAATAACATTAGCTCTGAGTCCACAAAGATATGTGGTGCAAAAAACTCCCCAAAAAACAGTGCAAGGAGAAGAGAAGGAGGTTGGTCAGGCCCAGGACGGCTAAAGTCCAGTGCTACATGGCGGCGGGTGTTTTGGTCTTGCCAAGCAAGGGTGCCATCACCTGTCAGGACGGGACCAGGACTTTCGTGTATGTTTGCTTGTTTTTGTTCTTGTTTTGAAACGGATTTTGCGACATCGCCTATAGTGGCCTCAATTTGAGATCTTCCCTCTTCAGCCTCTGCAACAACTAGGATTACAGGCGCAGGACACCGCATTCATTCCTGAACTCTGGAAAGACGATCGTGCTCCCCCCTTCCTTATGTAATTAATAGCTGTTCATTTAGGGGGTGAATTGAGATTTCAGACTTCCTGAAATTATAAATCCATCAGAGCCAAACTTTCCCTGCTCTTCCCTCCCTTACTAGAGCCGAAGCCGCCCTTCCCTTGTCCGCCCCCGGATCCCGCACAGCCCGGCTGCTCAGCAGCCCGCCACGTGGCAGCGACCAGGTGAGGGG